AGCTGTGATCCAAGAGGCACAATGTTTGGGCTATTTATAACACTCTGCCCTAAGGACATTCCTACATTCATTCAACACTTTATTTTACATTTGTGAAATGTAAAAGGTCTCTTAAAACTCTGTTTTGATTCTAAAACCTCCTTTTCTTTTTTTCCCCTCATCTCTCTGTTTCTCTGCTTCTGTCTCTGTATCTGTCTCTGTTTCTCTCTCTTTTTCTCTGTCTCTGTCCTTCCCACCGGTAACTGCTATTCGACAGCCTCCGGTGTGGGTTTCTCTTTGTGTCCTGATTGCTGAGAACTGGGTTGCCTGGTAGGGACCAATCTGCTCTCACCTACTTACTTTCATTTCTTGGTGACTTCAACTCTATTCTTATATTTGCATCTCAAGCACAATCACCTCCCAGAGCTTCAAAATCTCACATATGCAGGTTCCGTGGGACAGCTGTTGAGTGGAGGTCCGGGGCCATCTCAGTATTGGAAATATGTTCCATTGCAAGTCCTTATTTCCCCTTGTTTCCCAGTGTTGCTTTTTCTGTCTTCCCATCTAAGGAAGCTTCATAGAAAATTCTGTGGTGGATCCTTTCCAAATATAAGGCAGGATTTGATTTTGTTTTTCTGTCTCAGCTCATGTCCAGAATGTCAGCAAATATATTTTTGTTACTTTAAAATATAGCCAGGATGTACCTACCTTTCAAAAATCTGTATTCAGGACTGGGAAATAAAATGACATGATGACTTGGAATATGACATTAGAGGAACTTTTTAATGTCTACTTTGTAAGCTGTCTGGAAGGCCATGAAGAGCAAACGGGCATCAAACTGCATATTATCAGAGTCTTCATTTGTCTCATGTTAAACCTAAGTTTGAGGATAGCAGTGGTCTTGGAGGACTTTCATAAAAAGGAAGAAATGGAGCCTTTTGAGATTTATCAGCCATCATGAGGATGAGCAGATGTGTGAGTTACCAACCTTAAGTCTAGAAGTATTAGTTCTCCATGTTTTGTTTGCCTATAAAATGCTTGGAAACAAAGATTTTTGTGGAGACTAAAACCCATATATCTTTGTCAGTAGCAATAGAGAACAGGGGCAAAAATGTCCCATAAAATGCAAATTGAATTTCTGCTAACAGCTGTGAGACATTTTCTGAGAATTTGTTTGCCCTCTTTGTATTGTAGCTGTATTCCTGGATATCACCAACTGTGGAATCCTCCAACATCTCTCAGGTCATTCCCAGTATGTGAACAGCCAGGAACATGATTTGGATGCCATGCTACACTGATGAGAGAGATGTGACAGGACTGAAGTTTCTTCAGGCCAAGATCTTTCCTTACCCAAGGAGTCAGTAAGACTAAGAACACTGCAAAATGCACCACTTCATGAACGTCCATGGAGTCTCAGGAACACAACACTGCGAGCATAGCAAAGATCTCTACAAATTTGACCTTTTCAGATAGAGGCAGCTCTCCAGGAGTGACACACAGGCTGAGAGGAAAATGCTTGTTCACTGTATCCAAACTGGACTGTGATACGTTAACATGGAAGTGCATATCCAATATGCCTTTTCTTAGTTATTACTCATTTTAGGCTGAACTCAATGTGAGATTGATTTGGTTTCATTCGGTTTCATCAGGTAACAGAGCTTTTAAAGCTCAAAGGAACCCTTCATAGCCAGTTTCAACATTCTGTCTCTGTGTCAGAGTCCTCAGCAGAACGCAGTCTCTGTTCCTTTGCTTTCTTCCTCATTCAGAGTCCCAGGCAGAGGCCTCAGCTACAACCTGTTGTTCTGATTCTTCAGCCTCTTCCTCTCACACAGAGCAGTCTGTGATGTGCTGCTCCCCAGACAGCAGTGCAGGAGGGCAGCTGGGCCTCCTCAGGCAGGGAGGTTTGTGTTCGGGCTGTAGCACCGGGGCAGGATCATGTGTACCTTGCACACTGTAATAAACTCCAGCGCCCTCAGCCTCCACCCTGCTGATTTTGAGAATGAAATCTGTCCATGACCCACTGCCACTGAACCTGTCAGAGACCCAAGATTCCTGATCGGAAACCTGATAAATCATTCTTCGTGGATCCTGGCCTGGTTTGTGCACCACCCAGTGCAAATAGGTGTTTCCATTGCTGTGAAGGAGACTTTGACTGGCCCTGCAGGACATGGAGGCTGGCTCTCCAGGGGTGACAGAGAGGGATAGTGGGGTTTGGGTCAATACAACATCTCCAGAGGATCCTAAAATGAAGAAAGAAAAGTAAGTGCAACTTCAGATACAAACATCATCATGCATTTTTACCCTGTTCTCTTTTTTGTAAATGTCAAGCTTAACTATTATGTAATTTTAATATAAAGGGAACTAATATTAGTTTTGAAATAACTCACAAGATCTAATCACAAGGATTCCTCTTGAATTCATCTCCCTACCCATATCTTTCTTTGTGTCACTCTTCATGAGAGGCCTACTCCTGAGGCTTTAGAAATTTTCTTAATTCCCTCATAGAAATACACACATCCATGCTTCACGTCAGGGCTGCACATCTCAGGTATGCACAGAACTCATCGAGGCAGCAGTTTGACCCAGAAATTCACCCCTTCCTCCCATACCCTTCCTCATCTCCCTGTGTCCTTACCAGTGATCCAGAGCAGTAGCACCCCCAGGAGCTGAAGAGGGAGCCTCATTTTGCGAAATTGAACTGAGATTTCTAATCAGTCAGGGCCAAGTTAGAACCAGAATTTATCTGAGACTTGCTTGGGAAGGTCTTTCCTGGGGAGAAAATGCAAATTCCCTGGTGGGTGCAGTGGTGGAGAAAGCGTAAAGCACATGGTTTGAGGTTTCACATGTGAGCCAAGTATTATAAAATTCCTTCTGCATTTTGAGCAAGCAATGCAGCTAAACTACATGCTGTGTGCAGCAGTGGGTACAGGGATCCCTAAGAAAATCCTCACCTCCAGCAGGGACACAGTGCTCAGGGCTCTGCCCTTCCCAGACAGAACTGCAGTCCCAAGATATGGGAGTGTGTGCAGATCAGTCTCTGGGAGGGGAAAAGTCTTGTGCTTCTAGGCCTCCTGGAAGGAAAGGAAGTGATTTTCACTTGATGAGAATGCATTTTTAGTATTTTCTATCATTAACAGCCTGTAGCAGAGCTGTGAAGCCCTTCTGATTAGGTGAACTCTCATCATCTAGAAAGAAGATGAGAAACAATATTTTCCTTTATCTAGAAATTAAACAGCATAAGAGCACTAAAGTCAACACAATACGATACAGAGATAAAGTAACTGTCTTCTAGCTGGAGGGAAGTAACTCTTTTGAAGGCAAGACTAAAAGGAAAAAATATGCCTTATATAATTCACATGAAATTATTTGTAAGTAGACTTAGAAATTGGTAAATATGTAATCATGTCTCTCCCTGTAGATACGTATAATATGATATCTATCTATCTATTTATCTATCTATCTATCTGGTTTATTAAAACCTTTATTAAGAAAAAATATTTCTCTTGATCTTGTGCAAAGTGAATGCAGAATAATATTACACTACTCTTTTCTGAGTGATCATAAATCATCCTTCTCAATTCTACTCTTATAACAAATACTGAGTAGCCATGGTCTGTAGTTTAAAGAGACATTGTCAGTATCAGAATGTCACTATTGAATCTGATTTTTTAATGTCTCAATGTCATTTGAATCAATGGCTGAAACTTTCTGGACCTTATCTAAAATGGTCACTGTGGAAAGAAGGTCAATTTCATACTTTCTCCAAAGCCCTAAGAGAATGAAGCCATGCTGTTTTCAGTCTGTAATGATACTATATGTTTCATGACAGGCCAAGAGCTGCAGTGTACCCTTACACATTTGGTAAAGTGGGTTCATGGAAAAATAAACACATAAGGATTTTGTAACGTGTGCTTTTATTGTAAATAAAAGACTCTCTGGATGTGCTCATCGTCGTGTGTGTGTGTGTGTGTGTGTGTGTGTGTGTGTGCGCGCGTGCGCGCGTGCTGTGGCTTAAACCTGGGATATTCACAATTAGCTACAACAACAGTTCTTTGCATTTTGAGACAGGGTATCATTGTGTTGTTCACTTGTTCAACTTCATCTCCAGCTGTCTATTTTCCTCCTCAGGCACCACTGTGCTGCAGTCACAGGTATGCACCATTGGGTGCTTTTATCTTCTGAGTGTGTTTTATTTCTGAATACTTCAAGAGGTTGAAAAGCTCACTTATTGGACCTGTTGGACTCTTAAGGTTCCCTATTTGTCTCTCTGGAATCAGTGGTAAATGAAATGGAAGAAAATAAACTTCATCTCAAAATCTTGTGTATTTTCGGGAAAAGCAGTAGAAAAAAAGTCCATGTGGCATCCATCCGCGGGAGGAAGAATCCCATTGTGCAAGGCTGAGTCTCTATTGAACACAGTGCAAAGTTCTCTCCCCAATAAGATAGATCACTCTCTCCTCACCATTACTGCTCATCAGAGAGTTTTCTGCTAGTGACACCTTGGTGCCAGTAAAAGATTTTAGCAACTGTCATTTTCAGGCGAGCTACTGTGATGTTAGAAACCATGTCAGCAAGTCTTCCCGGCCAAGTGATTAATCTCCATAAGGACACTGCTGTCAAAAGGATGTGAAGGAAGATAAAAAATATTCTTATTTCAGGTAGAGACCTAGGTGACCTGCTGAAGTCAAGTAGAGAAGCAGAAATTATTGTACGTTAGGTAATGAGCCGCAATTCCTGGGCAGAGGTGAATATATTGTCCTGGTATCTAGACATGGACATGTTAACTATACGAGTCTGAATATATGTTAACATGTAAATGTGTATTATAAATATTTATTTATAGAAATGTATCCATATATGAGTATTTACATATTAGTATGTACCAATTTATATACACACAAGTGAATATACATCTATAAAAGTATACACATAGCTATATATATAAATCCATATATGTATATACTCAATTATTAGGTTAGTTAAAATTGTTCTTTGTGCAGTGATTCCTTTGAAGCCTTTTTTACTTTCTGGGCTTTTGAGGCAGGAACTCAGTTCAGGCTGCCCTAAGATCACTGTGTAGCCCAGGCTAGGGTTAAGCAGGTCAGCTACTCATCCTGGTTCCATCAGAAACTGCTTGCTCACTGCACACACACCTGAGAGTCCCAGGTCTCTCACCAGTTCAGTGACCTTTGATCTGGAAAAGGTTTCAGTGTTACCATCAACAGCTTATAAGCTGAAGGCACAGTACATAATGACTGTCAGCAGTGTTGTAGTCATTCTCTCCATGTGATTCATCCTGAAGCAAAACCTCATTTTAGTGTCTGTCCTGCTGTTTGCTGTCCATGTGACAAGGGAGTTGCACTCTCCATCTGCCTAAAGACTACATCTCATTCTTCCATCTAAGAAATATGACAGGGTCAGTAGAAAATTAAATGTATTGGTGTGCCTTTAAACTTTTATTATAGAAGAGTAACAGGAAAACTCAGTAAAGACTCTCACAATACAATTTTACATGAATTTATGTCTTGAACATGTAAAAGTCATCATGTTACAGTTCCTCAGGTCAGAAGCCCAGCTCAGTACTCAGTGTGACAGTGAGGCTGCTATCAAGATGCCTTCGGTCTGGAAGATCTAGAAGTGAATCTGTCCCTTTCCTACTCCTAGAGGTGTCTGTGAGCCCTTGTCCCTCATCTTTCTGTCTCCCAGCAGTTCATCTCTTGCACCTGTCCAAGTCACACCTGTGTGTGCTACCTGTGTGCTTTCCAGGTGTCAGTGCTGAGAAACCTCAGTCCACAGGAATGAAGGATGTTGTTTTGTGCCCCAGACAACCTAACTTTCAGTCTTTCCACCTCAGTTAATTCAAAGAATTCTGTTTCTGAAGACGGAAATCTTCCAATGTGCTAACCAATTCCATTCATGATTCCATTTTCAACTAGAAATAAGCCTTGACTGTTCTCTGAAGCACAGAGACAATGCAGCTGAGTGTCATGGACCACTTATAATTGTTAAAGTTCTGCACTGGGTCTTCAAGTTGTCTCTGTGTGAAAGGGCCTTTCTTTATTTACTTGGTATCCAGGTGTTCACTGAGATGACAGATGTGCTCAGTGGTATGAGGTGAAGCACACGGTGATGTAGGCAGTGCCATGCACAGATGTAAAATGGGGTGCACCAAGATGAGAGCTTCACCTACACATGAGAAACTTACAGATTTACAACAATAGGAGTAACTGATGTATACTCCACAAAGGTAAGAAAACAAATTTTCATAGAGAAATTCAAAGTTTGTGATGTCCCCGTCACAGGGAAGCTGAGGATGAGCATGTGAAACATCTAGAGCATTTATGCAGGGTGCAGGCAGCAGTGAGTCTCAGGTGAGTTTGTGGTGAGTGAACAGAGTGCATCCAGAAATGTCGATGGGTGCTGGACCTGCTTTACAGACCAAATGGGGTTTGAAAACATAGTTATACATATGCCAAAATCAATAGAAATATATATTGAAAACAACACTTTTCATAAATGTAAAATTTAGTGCTATAAAACTATTCTAAAAAGAGAAAAGTTCTGTGATTGTGGATGTGCTCTAGCTTTGAGTTTCTCAAACTCTAATTCAAAGAAAATAAGGTATTATGTCACACATTTCTCACCTTGGGAAAATTCCTGGTCTCATGTCTGGCTAACTTTTCTAGTACACATAGAAGGTCATTTCTCTCTTGGGGAATTGTATGGGAGCTGTTAAGAACTACTGAGTAGTATTTTCAATTATACCCATAGAAAACTGAATTAGAGGATCCATATGATATTTTCTTGTACAAATGGTGACAGTGCATGCACAGTATTAAATGGTGAGGCTGGAGTATGGGCTGAGGCTTAGGTGTAATATCTACTCAGTGGCCACAGAGCATATGTTCCCAGCACTTAGCCTTGGTGATGTCCCTGGAATTGTCTGTTGGGAGCCGCGTCTGTGATAGGTCGCCTTACTCGGCGGACGTGCGGCCTGTGGTAAAGAGCAAAGCCTGAGGTAGATTACCCCTCCCATCGAATATGTTAGTTTCCTGCTTACCGCGTAAACAACCCGCTCAACAATATAGTCTGCCTGGCAACTGATGATGTTAGCCAATCAGCTTGCCTTGCTTACTTTAACATGATTGGACACTGTATCCGTATATATACCGGTGCCACCCCTGGGAGGAAGTAGAAGCCAGGTAGAAGCCCGGAAGTGGAAGCCCAAAAGGAGCCGCGGAGAGCGGACCGATAGAGGCTTCGGAGTGAAGCCCAAAAGGAGCCGCGGGGAGCGGACCAAAGGAGGCTTCAGTTGGGAGCGGTCCCAGGGCAGGCTGTACGGAGAAGGAAAATAAAAAGAAAAGGTTGTCCACTACCAGACTTTGTCGTGTGTCCTTCCTGCCGGCCAGAAGCGACCACGACATTTGGTGGCCCGCCCGGGGACTGATCACCCCCGAGACGTAGAAGTGGACAACGCTCCAGTACAGAGCTGCGAGACAGGTGAGTTGGGGATAAGCCTGGGCTCTGGGTGGCGCGCACCTACAGGGCTTTTAGACTCCCCTCAGGCTCACGCGTAAGTGGCGGATTCCTTGGGCCTCACGCGGTGAGTAACATATTAAAAAATGGGAAACATGCTAGGTAGCAACACTAAGAGCGAGGGTGGTTGTGGAGAAAGCTCTCAAGAGCTTACAAAAGTACGCAGGGTATCTGAGCAGGCCCAGTCAGGGAGCTCCCGAGAGGGGTCCGTCAAGGGGAACAAGGATGCTAAGGAGGAGGACGGGGCTCTAGCCTCGGAGTCGTCTGACTCCGAGGACGAGGGAAAGTTAAATGGCAAGGGGGCCAAAGAGACCAGCTGTCAGGAGCCTAAGTCGCTCAATAAGGAGTCGCAGGGTTCTTTTCCAACGTTGCGCCGCGAATTGCGCTCTGCTCAACCTGGTCTGCGGAGGAGTAGAGAGCTCCTGAGCGCTCCCCGGCGCGAGAGGGAGGCGAAGCCTTCCGCCCCACCCTGGGGGCCGTTTCCGGAGGCGGTCCCTCGCCACGAGGCGGCCGCCTGGGAGCTCCCTCCCCTTTCGCCAGAACAGGAAGTGATGCACGAGCCCCCATTTTCCGCCCAATCACGGCCGCCGTCTTATGCTCCGCCGCCGGCGGATCGGTATTTTTACAGGCGGCTTTGGCAGGGGGGACGCTTGTCTCATGAGGTACATCCACCTGGGATAGATAGTGACCCCTACGGGATATTTCCTGTACAAGTAGCTATGGGTCAGGGACGCAATGTATGGGAGCCTTTTGAGATAAAGCAGATTAGAGAACTTAAAAATGCAGTTACAACCTTTGGGCCGACTGCGCCTTACACCATTGCCATGCTGGAGAATCTGTCTTCTGGGCCCCTCACCCCCGCGGACTGGATTCAGCTGGCAAAGGCGTGTCTGCCCTCGGGTAGTTACCTGGATTGGCGAGCCTGGTACGCAGAGTTCTCTGCAGAGCAGGCTGAGAAAAACGCCAATCGGGGAAACCGGGGGTGGAACAAGGAAATGCTTATGGGAGAAGGTCGGCATGCTGATGATCAGACTCGGTTCCCTGGCGATGTCTATGAACAAATCAATGCCATAGGGCTCCGCGCCTGGAAGCAAGTAAGTGGTGCCGGAACAGCCTCCTTGTGTCTTTCAAAAATAATTCAGGGTACCACAGAGCCATTTGTTGACTTTGTGGCCCGAATGCAAGATGCTGCCGATAAGATATTTTCTGATCCGGGAGTGGCTCAACCGCTGGTAAGGCAGCTGATTTTCGAGCAATGTACAAAGGAGTGCAAGGCAGCGATAGCTCCTCATAAGAACAAGGACCTCAACGCCTGGATTAGGATATGCAGAGAGATAGGGGGGCCGCTCTCCAACTCGGGAGTGGCTGCTCTCCTGGCCGCGGCTGTACAGCAGAGGGGACCTCGCGGGTCAGGAGGGGAATGTAAGGCTAAAGGGTGTTTTGCCTGCGGGGAGCCAGGACACATTAAACGTCACTGCCCAAACAATGCAGATGCTAGGCCTCATCCTAGGAATGAAGAACCATATGTTTGTGGGCGATGCAAGAAGGGATCACACAGAGCTGAGGAGTGTAGGTCGGTCTTTGATGCTCAGGGCAACCGTATTTGTGGACAAGATGCTAGAGAGCCAAAAAACGGCCAGAGGGGGCCCCCTTCACAGGCGGGCCCCCGCCCCAGAGACAGGACAGCTCAGGGTGGCAGCCTTCAACAAGGGCCACCCCTGGGTCAGCAGGTGTGGACCTCAGTGTCGCCTCAGGACTTATATTAGTGCCTGATATGGGTGTTCAAGTGGTTGAAACCACCTTTAAGGGACCGTTACCCAAAAATTCCGTGGGTCTGGTGATCGGGAGATCCTCCACGGCCCTTCGGGGTCTCACAGTAGTCCCGGGGGTCATAGACTCAGACTACACAGGACATATTAAAATTATGGTTCAATCTCTTGTGGGTACTATGGTAATCAATAAAGGAGACAAGATAGCGCAGCTCTTGCTGCTCCCCAGTCTCCACAAGAGATTTCCCTCAAAGCAGAAAATTAGAGAAAGTCAAGGTTTCGGTTCCTCAGGGGAAGTCTTTGAGGGACTCCATATGACACTTGGTAAAAGGCCCATGCTCTCACTTAAGGTCAATGGCAAGAGTATAACAGGGCTCCTAGACACAGGAGCTGACCGTTCCATTATCTCCAGAAAGGATTGGCCTTCCAACTGGCCCACCAACACTGCAGATAACACGCTGCAGGGCCTGGGGATGGTGTCAGCTCCTCAGGTTAGTGCTTCAACCCTGCTCTGGTGCGATGAGGAGGGTCATCAGGGCCATTTCCAACCATTTGTGTTGCAGTTGCCAATGTCTCTATGGGGAAGGGACATCCTCACTCAGATGGATGTCACGCTTACGTCAAACTGCTCCCCCCAGGCTAAGGATATACTCAGGAACCAGGGATATACCCCCGGCAAAGGCTTGGGCAATGCCCTGCAGGGTCGGACATCCCCAATACCAGTAGAGAACAAAAAAGGTAGGCAAGGATTGGGTTTTTCTTAGGGGCCGCTGAAGAAGCTCTCCTACCCACTTCGATCAAAATCACCTGGAAATCAAATGATCCGGTTTGGGTACCTCAGTGGCCCCTGCCTAAGGAGAAGCTATTAGCCTTGTCAGAAATAGTCAGTACACAACTTAGATTAGGACATATTAAGCCGTCAACCTCCCCATGGAACACCCCCATTTTTATAATTAAGAAAAAGTCTGGCAAGTGGAGGCTGCTCCATGATCTAAGGGCGGTCAACGCGCAGATGCAGTCCCTGGGGGCGGTCCAGAGGGGGCTGCCAGCTCTCTCAGCCATCCCTCAGTCCTGGCCAGTTTATGTTATAGATCTTAGAGACTGTTTCTTCTCAATTCCCCTGCACCCAGAGGACACTCATAGGTTCGCCTTTACACTAGCAAACCATTTCCATGTTTCCAGAGCAGATGCACGAGATATCGTGCGACTATGTGACTCCTGTGCCACATACAAACCTGCCATACCGATGGGAGTAAACCCTCGAGGTTTGATCCCTGGTGATGTTTGGCAGATGGACATCACACATATACAGGAGTTTGGGACTCTTAAATATGTTCATGTTTCCACAGACACCTGTTCTCGCGTCATATTTGCAACAGCAGAAACAGGTGAAAAAGTGTCTAATGTGATCAATCATTGCCTGGCAGCTTGGGCCGCATGGGGCAAACCAAAAATATTAAAAACTGATAATGGACCAGCCTATATAGGCAAAGCTTTCAATGAGTTCTGTAAAATGATGGAGGTTCAATTAAAACATGGTATCCCATATAATCCCCAAGGTCAAGGAATCATTGAGAGGGCTCATAGAAGCCTCAAAGAAATTTTACAAAAACAAAAAGGGGGAGTAGGCCAAGGCCTGGCCCCAAAGGCACGATTATCCATGGCACTATTCACACACAATTTTTTAAATTTAAATAATGATAATCGCTCCCCAGCTGTGGAGCACTGCAACCCTTCCCCCAACCATAAAGGGTGGGTGAAGTGGAAAGATGTCCTGACAGGACAATGGATGGGCCCGGATCCAGTGGTCAGCTGGAACCGAGGCGCGGTTTGTGTTTTCCCACAGGAACCGGGACGAGAACCACTGTGGATACCGGAGAGACTGACACGGGCAACAAAGCCCTCGACTGAAGATCAGACCTGCCCTACCGGAGATCCATCACAGACCAACCAACAAGATGAATAGAAATAGCGGTAGCCCGAAATGGACAAGAAGATCCTCAGGCATATGCATGGCTTGCTCGATTGGCCCACGACCGAGTCTAGATATGGCGGGCATCCCTCATTCTCCTCCATAAGGTGACAATACACAGCAGGGTAGGTGAGTCAATGACGGGTAAGAGCGTGCCTCCCCAGCACGACTCGACCTAAGCCAGGCCCTACCCCATCCTGCACGTAAGCCGCTGGACTGTTAGATGCTGCCCAGGTCTAAATTTCTCTCCGAGGGGATTTCTTTACGGAGAGGAAATGAGTGCAAGCTTGTGTGCATCCAGGTTCCGTCCAGTTTGTGCCTGGCCCTAGAAAAAGGACGAGGGCCTCAGGGCCTTGGCAGACCATGGCATGGCCAACCAGGGTCTAAGCCAAGGACCTACGGTGGGCCTACACATAGGGCATAAGCCTCTGCACCCAGTCCAGGAAGGGCTACGATGCGCACATTCATAAAAAATAAAATAGGGGGAGATGTTGGGAGCCGCGTCTGTGATAGGTCGCCTTACTTGGCGGACGTGTGGCCTGTGGTAAAGAGCAAAGCCTGAGGTAGATTACCCCTCCCATCGAATATGTTAGTTTCCTGCTTACCGCGTAAACAACCCGCTCAACAATATAGTCTGCCTGGCAACTGATGATGTTAGCCAATCAGCTTGCCTTGCTTACTTTAACATGATTGGACACTGTATCCGTATATATACCGGTGCCACCCCTGGGAGGAAGTAGAAGCCAGGTAGAAGCCCGGAAGTGGAAGCCCAAAAGGAGCCGCGGAGAGCGGACCGATAGAGGCTTCGGAGTGAAGCCCAAAAGGAGCCGCGGGGAGCGGACCAAAGGAGGCTTCAGTTGGGAGCGGTCCCAGGGCAGGCTGTACGGAGAAGGAAAATAAAAAGAAAAGGTTGTCCACTACCAGACTTTGTCATGTGTCCTTCCTGCCGGCCAGAAGCGACCACGACAGTTGTCCCTGGATGTTCCTGTGGACTCCCTTAGCCTTGGGTGATGTCAAGGTCCTGATGCTGTCTGAGAGATGAGTAGCATCTTGCAAGAGCTGCGGGCTTCATTTGCTGCCAGAAATCTTACTCATCCTGATTAGTGAAGGCTGGATGCCCTCATTCTCTGGCCAGAGTTTTTCTTTCCTGTGGAGGAGGTGTGGAGATCACTTCAGACTCAGGGTGAGATCCTCAGATCTTCAAATCAGCCATTCTATGTAAGTCAGAGAATTGTCCCCAGTGCTGTGATTTTTCATTTCAAGGTAGGACTGCTGCATTTTTCATGTAAATCACAGAATAATAATGATAAGAATTCTTTTCCCCTAAAAAGAAAAGAAAAGAAAACAGCCACATCAAATAAACTCTCTGATTAAAGTATTCAGCAATATCTCTTTGTCCTGACTTACTGTCATGGTCCTTAGTCTCGTGCTTGGTTGCCAAGCTTGGCTGCTGTGTTTGGTGTCTGGTGCAGGACTCTGAAAACTCCTCATGTTCAGACCCATGTCCACAGATTCAGGGGAGACTAGTCTGGCCATGGCTGAAGATTATATCTTTCTTTCTTTCTTTCCTTCTCTATTCTTTCCTCCTTTCTTTTGTTTTATTGTGAGGTATTCGAGACAGACCTCAGGAACTCTGCATGCTAGTGAGGTACCACTATGAGTTACACCTGCAGCCTGAAATTTGGATTTTCCTGGGTTCTGCAAGGAGATCCAGTGTGATCTGCCCCACCTGCTCTCTACTTTCTAACCATGTATATTAGCCAACTGCCTTTTTTCCCTGTACCTGTTCCCTGGGCCTGCTTTTTGGCACATGGGTTGTTGAATTCTTCCCCTCCTCATGGCCTCATGACACCTCATCTCCTTGCCAGGCACTGTCGCCCCTGCTAATCAGGCTTGAGTTCATTCCCCAGGGCCTCTGGCCCTGATGGCAGCCTGGTGGCTTTTTCACTCAGAAACCTGGTGCCTAGAAGTAGAGGACTTTAATCATGTGAACGTTTCATTACCAGTTGTGACAGGAACCATGTATCATTTTATTCATAGATCATTCTTTTCTCAGGTCTGGTCTCCTTTTCACAGTGAAAATATTAGCCTCATACTTCTAAAATTATCCCCATCCTTGAATTCTCTGATTTTTGGACAGACCTAGTATGAGGCAAGTGAGCCATTTGCCTTGTTGCAAAATTTAAGAAAGTGCACAAATCTCAGGCATTTGTGTGAATATCTTTTAGTGCAATCCAAAGTTGTGCAAAGCCTACCTCATAAGGAAAATTCACAATTGTCAGTCAAAACAAGATCTACAAGTTGAAAAATAAGTGTCACTATGAACTGCTTTATATTGTGGCATATCATATTTGTGAGCTTATTTCATTTAAGTTCTTGAACTTCTGCCACCAGTTGCTATCAGGGACTGGTTTGAGAGCAGCATTATAAGTGTGGATTGCAAAAAGATTGGAGCACAAGACACTGGAGCTTCTTTAACTTGGAGAATGTCTTGGGTGCTGTACTGGGATGGGACGGGGTGGGTGTGAGAGTGGATTCCAAAGTCTACAACAGCACTGGGTCAGGGAAAGTGGACGATGGAAAAAAAATGTTGAACAAAAAATGTTTCCTATGCGTCTATATTCAGTATGAAGAGTGATAATAATGGGCAGATTAAATGTCTGGAGCTTCCTGAAATCTCTGTGGAAGTTCTGTAGTCACTGAACGAAATCATAGCTGTGTTGTAAGTGTGTAAGGAAAATATTGCAGGAAGTAGTATTTTGAAAGAGGATGACAATTTGGCTTGGACCCGCAGTGCATGGAGATGACCAGCAGAGAGCAGAGAGAGCACACATCTTTGAAAGCAACCTTGTGTCTCTCCCCCTGCTTGGGGGGAGTCACTCACAGGTGAGGCTGTATTTGGACCATTCTGTAACAATGATCCGCAAAGGGAAATTTCCTTTCAGTTTAATATTGTTTAAGTTACGTTGGTAAACTGAAAAATCGTTCTAAAATGTTATTTGTCTCTGTCATTAAGGTTAGTGTTAGTGTTAGGGTGCAGGTTGGACATCTGATGGCATCTGAAAAGTGTATTATGTTCCAGTTCTCACTCTCCGTGCTGACTTTGCCTTCCTTCCCATCTAAAGGCATCAATGCAAATTACCTTGTGGTTCAGGTTGAAATATATGTCTCTCATCCTTGATTTAACATTTTCTCTCATATCTCACATTAGTATGTCAGTAAAGTTCATTTGCTATGCGTTTAAAATATGACCAGAACCTGTACACCGTTCACCACATCCACTGCTCAGTCAGAATCCCAGAAATGTGAGTTCATAGCGACTTGGACAGAAGCATCAGAGGACGCTTTCGGGACTTTTCTATATTTACTTTGTGAACTTAGGCAAAAGACCAAGAATTGTGTATTAGATATCAATTGTCCCTTTACTAAACTCATCATTTTTCTGTTGCCCTGCATTTAACTTTGTTTTTATGTATTTTCAGAGTAATTTTTATGGAGACTAATGATTTACCCAGTGTCATGAGGATAGGGTGGAGGAATAAGGTGCACCTGTTAATCCTAGAAGCAGTAGGCTGAAACTTACTGTTTGGCCTTAGGCTCCCTGAATGCTGTGTGACAGGCTTCTGCAACCTGGCTTGTGTCTTTGTCTTCTGAGCGTTTACATTCTCTGTAAATACTCGGAAATGTTGGTGTGATTTCATGCTTGACATTTCTAGTCTCTGTTTTCTTTGTGAAATGTTACACAATGTTACACTAGCATGTTTGCAATGTATAATGATCACATTTATTGTGTGTGGTAGGTACATGTACAGAGCATACCTTAGTGTATTTCCCCTTCTCCTCATTTTTAGATTCTGTGCTTCATCTATCTAACCTGAGTTAAGAGCGACCAGTAACATGAAAGAATAAAAGGTTTGAATTTATGGGAACAGACACAGAGCAGGGTTTTAAAGTTTCAAAAAAATGTAGAGAAGATATGAGAACTTGATGGAAAATAATGGGCACATTGATTCAGCTTTCAAATTCTTGTCCTTGGAAATTCAATAATCCTTGAGCCCGGCTCAAGGGTGTGCAATTTGGGTGTGTTACTGTAGGCTGTGGCAGCAATCTTAGATCAAATTTGAATCGGATTCTAGAATTTGTAGTACATTATCTAGTGAAGCAAAATAAATGGGAGCTCATATTAATGAAATAAATACTCATGTTTTCAATAATGTTACTGTGCTAATGCTAAATTTTCAAGATGAGTTGTAAATTTACACTGCTTATAAAATACCACGAAATATCAATATTATTGTTAATTAATAGGTTTTTTGTTAGTTTCACTTTTCTATATAATACTCTGATTTCTTCAATATGTTTTTCCATTTCCAATTCTGGTTCAGACCTTTTGCTCTCTGTAATTTCTAATTTTTACTTATAATTGAATTATTTTTCATGTGTGTTTTAGAGATAGCGTTTCATTGTGCAATTTATGCTGGTCTTGTATTCACTTTGTAGCCCCAGCTGGCCTCGAACATGCAGCAATCCTCCTGCCTCAGCTTCCTGAGTACTGGGCTACAGGGATGCACAAACGTGCCAGGCTGAATTATTTTTGAACTGCTAGAATCTCTGAATGTGTGGTCTATGATCCTTAAATTGTTATTTGTAAAAGCTTTTACATTGTGAGTTACTGATGAAAAATAATGAGTATTTCCTGTCATTGCATTATACTTCTGTTTCTCATTTTTGTTTTTCCTTTTGATGAACTTCTCACTTTTTGTAGTGCTGGTTTCATGGTCATGAATTTCTTTAATGGCACTTTGTCATGAAATTTCTTTATTTGTTCTAAATTTGGAAAGATATGTTTGTACAATGTTATAATGCACAGTGAAATGTTTCTTTTGGACTTGATGCATTCCTCCTAGTTCGCCTGTCTAAAACTGAAGTCCACTTTGCATTCTTGTGATTTGATTTGTTGTCCAGCTTTCATAAAATGCCAGGAATTTGCGAGGCACACAAGGAACCTGCGAAGTCACCCTCATTCTCCCCTATTTATTCAGGATTCACTGAAGCACAGGTCCTTGTTACTCATGGCCTCTTCCCGCTTAGTCTTCTCTATTGACACTGTAGACTCTGGGTCATCTGTTCTTCTGCCGTGTTTGTCTTTCAAGGTCATTACAATTGATAAGGTTATTAATGAATTGTGTTTGGTAGGCAGCTGAGGTACCTCGGAGATACAGACCTTAGTCACAGTTTGCTTCTTTCGGGCCATCACCGTCTTTGTTTTCCACAACCTCAAACAACTGGCTGTGCTGTTCCCCAGGCAAGTAGCACAGGAGGGTAGCGGTCCACCCCAATCAGGGAGGTTTATGTTGAGAATCTAACAGTGCGGGAAGAGCTTGTGGACCTTGCACACAGTAATGAATTCCAGCATCCTCAGCTTCCACCCTGCTGATTTTGAGTGGGAAATGTGTGTCTGACACACTGCCACTGGATATTTTAAGACATAAATGTGCTTCTTAAAAGTGTTATAAATCATACATTATGAAGGGTGCCCTGGCTTCTGTATAAGTGAATTGAATAGATGTTTCCATCATGGTAGAGGAGGCTCCAACTTGACCTGCAGGAGATGGAGGCCAAGTCTCCAGTTGTGATGGACAGTGAGTAGGTTGTGAATCATGTCGATAACACAGTGTATCCCAAAGTAATGAAGAAACATCAGTTCATTTTTATTGTTTTCTCTTTCTTGTAAGCTTCAAGCTACATTATTTTTTATTTTGATATATAAAGAAAACTATTCAAATTTTATAAGTTAATTAAATTTATTGGTGAATTTTAAGTATACATGCTGACCGCAGTCTTCATCGGGAATTGGTCCCATACATGAAATAAGTTGATTCTTTTATCTCCATTCCTCTCTACTCTCATCAATCCTTGATCCCTTCCTTACTTACAAAAGCTTTGTTTCCATTTTTCCTTCTTTTATCATTTTTTATTCTATCCTTCCCTTCCTTAGTTCCCCTTCCCATTTGAACATTTTCTTACTATTTCACATGTGTTATATTTTTTGTTACTCACTTACTCTTTTGCACTCTCATGGTGGAGAAACAATGTGGTATGTACCCTTGTGTGTTCAATTTATTTCCCTGGATAGGATGGCCTCAGTGTGCACTCACGTAGATAGAAATGTCTCAAGCTTAGGCTTCTTTATGGCAGAGCAGCAGTGCACTATATAAACCCCCACATCTCCTTTACCCATTTCTCAGTTGATGAACATTTGT